CTATAATATTATAGTACAGTAATACAAATAATTGTTAGTCAACTAATGTTTTATGTAAGTTTTGTGTTTATAAAAATACTATACTGCTTAGCTCCTTGTTCCAGATTTGTGGTCGCACCGTCGCACAGTGGGCCAGAATCAATTCAAAGTGTGCCAAAAGTCGAAAATAGGTAATGTGACATCTTCAGCTTTTAAAGGTTGTTTGAGGTCGAGAACATCCTAAATTATATTAATCCACCAATAATTTCATATTAGTGAATTTTCATAGTGTGATATAACCATGTAAACATGAACAAGTTGTAGTTTACTCGTAAAATGATAAAATTGACAGTTTTGAAAAACTTCCTATGACTTTACTTAGATGAAAGCAGTCAACTTGATACTTCTTGCAGTATTTACCTATTGTTAACTAAATTAGATAGTAAAATAAAAAATAAATTATTAGTATATTTTTAGAATAAAGGACACTAGATATGAGCCAAAAACGCTTAAAAATATTTTTTTCATAAAACCAACTTAAAAGTTAGAATTGCCGGCGATTTTCGTCATGCTTTTGATACCAACATTTCTGGCAGAGCCTAGCTTTACGTTAATGCCAAGTTTAGCTGCCAATATCTGCCACCCTGCATTTAGCAAGCGATTTAATATACCCCCGTCCCCCTACAAAAGCGCCGTTTTTTAATATTAAGGTATACGATAAAATCATTCCTGCAGCCATTTGGTGCCAAATGTAAAAAAGTACACTCGATTTTCAGTGTCATTTCAAGGAGTGAATTGGGGAGGGAGATAATTGGTGGATCTGGAGGGGTCAGGGTCCTGACCACTCCCCCTTGGACAAAAACATTAAATAAATAAATATTTAAAAAATAATTCTAGACTTACTTTTCCAGGACCCGTAAGCTGGTTATTGAATTTTGCGTTACAATTGGACAATTAAATGTCGGAAATGCTCAATCAAAATTTTGATGGGGGATGACCCCGTTTAAAAAAAAAAAAGAAAAAAGAAAAGAACAAAAATAAGAATGCATAAGCAATTAATCATATTTATACCTGTACACACACAATAGGCCTCTTTACTGTATTAAAAATCAGAAAATTTACCTGACCGTTTTCAATAGGGTAGACCTTGATTTTATTTTTATTAAAGGTCATTAAAAGATACTTCAGAAGTCTGAAAAGCTCACTTCCCGCAATCTAGGAATCCAAATTTTCCAGGGGCTAACATGATGATTCCGCGCCTCTCCCCCTGTTCCTCTTTAGGGTTCATCGATTCATTAAAAAATGTCAAGAGAGGGAAACCAAAATTTCAGAAGTTGAGAAAACCCGTTTTCCGACATATAAGAATCAACATTTTCCCACCACCGTCCTATTTGGGGTTCATCGGTTTATGGAAGACAAAATAGGCCTACGTATGGAACTACTCATATTTTTGTATACACACATAGGCCTGTTTACTGTAATAAGAATGACATGACTCTTTTCAAGGGAGAGAAAATCTTGAACTTTAAAAAACTTAAATGTCATTAAAATACACCTCAAAAGTCGGGAAATCTCATTTCTCGCCATTTAGGAAACAGCGTTTTTCCGGGGAGGACCTCGACCCCCTTTCATTTTGAGGTCAATTATTCTAGAAATCATTTTTTTCCCGAAACTTTCTCTTTTGTTTTTATTTTTTTAGTAATTTTTTTTTAAACATTTTGACTCCATCCTAAATCTGAAGCCAAATTGCCTCTGGAGATGATAAGGGCATCCCAAAGTGAGTAATGGGATGGGGGTAAATGCTTGATAAAGTGGGACCGCTCATTTAATTTCTTTTTTTCATTTATTTATTTAGCATCCATTCAAATACAAATTATTACTCACGCAAATTATAGCGATATTAGGTAAATTCAGTCTGTTTGACCGTGATCTTTTGTGCTTATTTTCACTGGTGAGGGCTGACTAATGGGGTGGACGCCGACTAAGGGGGTACTGCAGGTGTCTTCTTAACACTCCACCTTCCACTCTTTTCTTTGAAGAAATGTATTAATAATGTCACATAAAGTGTAAAATGTTCTAATTTGAATTTGCCGGTCTTGAAACCCTCATTCGTGTCTTGCTGAGCTCTGGCAAGTTATTCTGTCTAGATCATAAATTTTACGTCGTCCAATAAAAAAAAAAAATACTTTAATGATGTCATACATATTTTAAATATGCTTGCGTTGAAATCTACAGGTTAGAAAACCCCTTATGTTCTAATATTAAACAAAGGTAAATATGAATCTGCCTAGGTATTACAATGAATATTTTACTCATCCAATCAAAAAACAATAATTTGATGACGTCATACATATTTTAAAATAGTTTAATTGAATTCAGCAGGTTTGAAAACCCCTTAAACAGTCTTAACATGAACATAATCAGTATTTTCTTATGAGTATTGACTTTTTTGGCACATTTTGAAACAATTCTGGCCCACTGTGCGTCGGCGCGCCATCCGCGACCGAAATTCATAACAAAATAGCGCGACCGAAATGAAGGCGCGACCGAAATGATCGGATACCGGTAGGGCTACAAGAGCCGCATTGTTAGCATTGTATAATATTTCAACAAGGTACGTCTGCAACTGAATTATTCTTAGTTATTTTTTTTTTCTTATTTTAATTTATTTCTTTCGAAGGTGTACTTTCTATCGCATAAAATTGCACTATCTACTTAGGCCTAGGCCTAGTCATAATCTTATTTATTATTGTGCCTCATCGCTCCCGCTACACAGTACTTCTAGGCTAGCCCACCTCCCCCACGCTACAGTACAGACGTTTGCTAGGCAACAGAACGTGATTGCACCTTTCTTTTCAGGTGTTCATGTAACATTTGCATATTGTTAACTAACCAGCTGTGTGTATTCCTTTGTGAAAATGAGTACCACGGCGTACTCATTTTCACAAAGCATTTGCATCCCCTCTTTAGGCCTACTTGGAAAGAGGGAACTTCGAAATATTGTCTCCATATCTTTGCTGATTAATCACCGTATTAACTTACGCTTATGCATGGAGGGAGCACTTAAAATGTACAATAATCATTTCACTACCCGACAATTAACCCCAAACTTTATTCATGCATTACATACTGTAAATAGTTTCATCTTGCTGACGTACTCCAACATCACTGGCGCATGGTAACAACCAACTGACTGCAGACCATTTCCGGTCACACATTACTCTCCGTAACGCAGCACCCCCCTTGTTAACGTCTCGTATCTATTGTCGTGACATCATGGCTTGCTGGCTCACACTTGCGATGTCTCGCATTTGTAATCAAATAACACGCTGGCTCGCACTTTGGCAACACTCTTTGGCAGTCAACCCGCCCCGGAAAACCCACCCTTGGAAACGTGCCCCATAAAAAAAATGTACACTTCCTAGACCATGCAGTCTTCAAAATAAAAATTGTAACCTTTGGTAATCAACTACATTTTCCACATAGGCCTCATAAAAATTTTTGAAACTTTATTTAAAAAAACCTAAACCATAATTCACCACTATAGACACTTTTTGACAAAAATGAAAAATTACGACTTTGTTTTTTTTTTTTACTATTTGCTATTTTTCTATATATAACGAAAAAGTTATCGTTTTTCTGTAAAAAAAATGGAATATCTCTAAGTTTTTCGGTGGAAATACAGCAGTCGCGACAACATTTCTGTGAATTTACAAACAGCGGCTGGATTACTACTACTCAGATCGTCGTCTCGCCACTCGCGCTGCACACACGGTTTTGCGTTTTTGTTGACTTGACAGGAGTTTATTTAAGAGCCGGTGGCCGGCGCATTCGATCGGCTACTACGATGTTTTCGCCGGCTACTTCAATCAATGCTGTACAAAAATTAATACAAAAACCACCAATATAAATAGCGCAACAGGCCTGTAAAGAACCTTATTTACCTACACAAAGTTAATTTGCAATAGTAATAGCAACCAATTTCGATGTTCCTTTCTGTTGAAAGTTCGTTAAAATGTCTACCAATTCTCAGACTCCATGTTTGACTTTTATGAACTCACGGCGTGAGTAAACAAAGTTCAAAGTTCAAAGTTCGGCAGTCGCGCCTGGGTGAGTCCGTCAAAGAAGCCACGCCTCCAAATCACATGTTAGCCAATAAGATAATAGAAATTTCTCCTCCACCACGTGCTCAGGTGATGACTAATACATCGCCCAAACTCTTTTTCCGTACATTGGGCTTCCGGGTTTTCTTACCGCGGAGAAGAAAAAAACAGATCGTCATTTTTAAATTAATTTGTGTATGACTATGAACCTTTTATTTTCATTTTATTTTTATTTTACTAGCCATCTTTGTGATGACATAGATATTTCAGAAATGATAAATAATTAAAAAAAAACCCAACACTGGCTCAAATTCGTTTACACTCAGTGGCGGAGGTAGCAAGGCGAACCAACTATATTGAATGCTGTTTACACTCACAATTTCAGAGTTATAGATAGTAGGCCTACAATGATTAAAACGGCAAAGCAAGCCCAAATACCATTGACAACTATGGCTTGGCTTGGCTTGGCCTGGCCCTAGGCCCTGTCTCTTATACACATCTAGATGTGTAGATTGCACATGTGCAACCACTGTGCAGTGTATACTAAGAAGTTCAAATGGGAAACTAATTTTCCGTACCATGACATACCACGATGTTCAATCATTATCAATCAATGTGTTTGAATCGATATTAGGCCTACAGGAAAATAATTTGTTAATAAAACATTGATAAACATTGAAACGGCCGAAATTATTAATTCGCGAAAGTTTCTGGTTTACAGTATCTATTTAGGCTAGGCCTATGTATGAAGATACAGTATATGTAAAAATATCAACTTTTTTTACAGCTCATAGTTGATTCTGAAAACTGTTAAAAAAAATGATGTAGAGAAATGCCATCAAATGGGCTTTAAAAACTCTAATACCCTGGAGCGCAATGGCGCTTGACCCCCGACCAGGGCTTTGCCTCTGGACCCCGATGGGGGCCTAGGCGCCCCCCTATAATCCGGCCTATTTCAATTTACTCTCCTGTTACTTTCAAATTTCTCCTGCTACTCAAATTCATAAATAAACCCCTGACTTGACAGGTCTTGTTTTTTTGTGACGCGAGGACGGTAGACAATGGAGCAGGAATAAGTTTCTTATTCTTCCAAAGGTGCAACAACTATAATCGTCAAATTAACCTTATGGTGGTTTAAGCGTGGGGCCAAGGATATCTACCTATACCAACATTGACAACAAGGCATTGACTTTTCATCATGAAAGATACGAGATGAGTCAACCGTCTGGTGATCATCCGTCCGTACTGCTGTATAGGCCAGGCCTCAGGCCTAGCCTACCTAGATTTAGTAGTCGTGGATTCGGCTAAGCAAAACAAAACTATATGGTGTGGTTAGATCAGTGTAGATGTATCCAGACTCTTGGACTCTGCCAATTAACAGAGTAGGCCGAGAGGCTTAGGCCTATTCTAATTTCTACATACTGTACTATAGCCTATGAATCAAATAGTGTTTCATCAGGCTAACAAGTATACTGTAGTAGCCAAGATGTACAGACCTGCTCAGGCCTCAAATTTTACCGCGGCCATTGCCGACGGTTCCCTCCCAGTTGGCCTTGGTGCCCCTGAAAATGAAGCATGACGACGGCCACTACTTGCCTGCCCTTTTGAAGCCTTGGCCTCAGTGCCCTTACGATGCTTATATAGATCGTTTGACACGTAAAATAAATCTAAGTAAGAACGTAAAAGCGTAGGTCGCCTAAGCTAGCCTAGGCCAGGTTGCAGTGACAGAACAGAATTTCCATGTGTGTTGATACGAACTGTTTTTGCGGTTACCGTTGTGTGCGCATGCATCTTACTCTAGCGGTTATTGCAATATAAACATGGGCTCATTCGACTGGTTCATTTCGTTGGAACAAATTTTCGTTGCGTATTATTTTCATTCGACTGGTCCGTATTAATAGACTATTCGTTGACAACGAAAATACGTAAACCAGAGTGCGTTAATCAGCGTAAGTTATCCACGTGACCAAGGAGAAACATGGCCGATTGGTGATTTTTTTTATTAACAACATTTGCGTTAATATAACTTAGATTATATTTCATAAAATAAATATAATATTTACCAACATGGATTCAAAAAATTATTGTAGGCAAACAGAATAAAAACTGGATGAAAATATTTCTTTTTACGAAAACCCCATACTACCACAAGTTGAAGCAATCTTGATTACGTAACGTATATCGCGGTAACTATACAGCCATTTTGTTTTGTCGAGTATTTACAAGTTTTCTATTCGACTGGTCGTCTTCGTTGATTAGGATGATACCGCTGTGCAGGTGGGCGTGGTTTAACGAAGAACGACCAGTCGAATACGGCCTTTGTATAGTTGTAAACATGTTCTTGCTGCACAGCTAACTTTGGGCGATCTTACGTCATCGCAGCTTTCGCGGCCAGTTTAGAGTTGTGGCTTCCTCTCCGATGACAACGGTCTGAGCAACAACACAAAGATATCGAACTTCTTGAAATTTGACTGTTTTGTACGATCTCCGACTGCCGCAGTATATTCCAACATTGAATCGATAATTAATAGTTAATACTCTAAACAAAGTCATATTACCATTGACAACTATGGCTTGGCTTGGCTTGGCCTGGCCCTAGGCCTAGCCTGGCTACGATGAATCAAGGCATTCGCGAGGAATTAGTACTGAGGCTAAATCAAATTTTACCTTGGGTGCCCTTTTATACTTGAAATTTTGGCCTTGGTGCCTTTCCATTTGGCCTTGGTGCCTTTCAAAATCATGTCATACCGAAGGCCATTTGGCCTTGCCCATAAAATCCCCAAATTCGAGGCCTGCCTGCTGTAAGGCCCCTTATCAAAAATATCAAAAAAAAATTTTCAAATTCCGGACGTGAAACTAATAATAAATTTTATTTGGCCTTATTGAGAAAGAGATCACTCAGCAACAGTTCCCTTTGACGCGAAAAACCAGTGGTGTTCCCCAACTTTAGATAGCGCACGGGCGTATTACCTTATTAACATTTTTTCATTATCAACAGCTTGGCAACGACATGCTTTTATACGCTTCAACACAGCAGTTGTGCGATAAACCATTTGATTTTAACTCATTAAATATCTTTAAAATTAACAATGTACTCCTGATTGCATCTGTTCGGAATTTTAGTATGTTATGTGTATATTTTGTGAACAGATTTCACAAAATATTTCTGTTACAATTACTTCTGTGTTCATTATAATTTTGTCTAAAAATTGACTGGTTTGACTAAAATGCTAAAGCAGCGTAAAACTGAAAATCACTCTGACTTTGGATTGATTGATTTTAGGGTTAACCCTCGTTAACCCTAAAATGACTTAGTTTATTATAATCCTCAATCATTTGTTAATTAATATCTGTTAAAATTAGAATTATCAAATTTTATCCAATTTATGGAAATTGATGTTAAAGTATACTATACTTTCAAAGCTCTTATAGATGTTTCATTAAATTCGAAACTCTTTTGTGGAAAATATTATATTGTTTGATATTTCATGAGAGATAAATGTATCAGCTTCAAAATAGAAACGATTGCGCAGCCATAGCGATTGACTGTATGTAGTGCGCATTGAGAAAAGAAGGTGCTCTCCACTTCGTCATGTTCAATTTTTTGGTCAACTATGCCTGTTGAAAATTTGGTGGCGGGGAACACATGGGACTTCAAAGGCATCGCGCAAACGTTCTTTACGCGCTGCGGCAACTTTGATCTTGGTTCATTTGCATAAGGCTGCGTGCGCGTAGCTTTGCCGAGTGATCTCCTTCTCAATAATACCTCCATGATTAAACTATGCAAATTTTCTAAACTATGCAACAAAAGTGATAGCTCCGCTTTTGCTGTCTTTCAACAGTTATGTTGCACAAATTCTTGAAATTATAATTATGAAACAATTGTGCCTACAGTGATTTAGACATTGCATTAAATGTTATTTTGCCACTCATTTGTAGTTAATTATCTTTGGAAAAAAATGGGAGGTCATAATAAAGGTCATATACATGAGATCTCTGAAGTACTTGGCGCTACTCTGAGCTTGTATCCCTTGCATTCCTTGTGCACGTGGAACTAGCACACTTACTCCTGAGACTTCTAATATAATTTTTAAGTAAATTGTCTGTAGTAAAGTTGTGAGGTAAATTTAGCACAAAGAGTGCCTTCACAGGCACAACTACCACACACGATTGACCAAGTCAAAAGACTGCCCAGTAACAGGATAGAATACTTAATTATTTTCTGTAGCTGAGGGAATAAGTTTTTTCTTAGTCAGAACTATTTATCAGAGTAACTTTGAATTCGACTTAATTTTAAAAACAATGAAAACTGTTCATGTTATTTATAAGGACAGTAAACCCTCTTTGCAAAGGTACCATTTTTTAGAACGAAAAATAATCACCACTGAATGAAAATTAATATACTGTATCCATATAAATATGCATCCGAAATGGTATTGAATAATATACAAATACAACATGGTTTGAGATGAAGTAGTGAATTCTACTTCCGAGCGAAGTGTCGAATGCCTGATTGAGACTACCTCTGCTTCGCATTGGGCGGAATGTAGTCCTAATCATCCAACAACGAGATAACTAGAATTTACCGAAATAAAACCTTGTAAAATTTTGTATATACGTCATAAATATTAAACAGCATAGTGAGGGTAAAATTATGCAGTTTACATATATGGTACACATAGAC